TCTTATTACACATAGACTCTAAGTCCTTGAAGATGAGAAGCATGTCTTTGCTTACCCAGAGAGTACCTGGCATGAAGGAGGTTCTCAGTAATGTCTGATGAATAAATGCATGAATGGCTCCTTTGACTGCTGGCCCCATTATGTGTTGGCCATGGGATCTTGAGTGAGTCAGTTGACCCCTCTGTGCCTCAATACTTTTGTCTGCAAAGTGGGTTATTACATCTCATTGGGTGGTTGTGAAGACTGAGTGATTTCATGCCAGTACTTGCAGGTAATAAAGGCATATTAAATAGTGGTGACTGCACACAGTGAACATCAGTTTTGACTGATGTGCTGCTCAATCCAGGAGACAGCCACAGCTTTGTGGCAGGGTGAAGCCTGGAGCATTCTGTTGCAGCTGCCAGCAGAGAAGAGGTTTCATAACTCTTTCCTAATGCCGGGTGAGTCCTGTCAGCTGATAAGGAGTTTCTATTTGGGATGACTAAATGTGTCCTCTGAAAAGTAGGAGGCCCCTTGCACAACTTCCTGGCCTCCCACCTACCCCTGATTCCTCAGTGACAGTGCTTAGGGGTATCACTGACTCAGGGAGGGACTGAGTGGACCAGAGGTGAGTTCCTTCATTTCCTCCTGCCTCCTTGTCTGCAAAGTGGGTTGGCTTCCCCGTGAAGTGAGATCTAATAAGATTTCACTCCTGTCAGTCTTCAGGTGAGGAATCACCCAGAACATGGCTCTTACCTGGTGCTCAGTTTAGGTATATCTAAACTAAAATCCTGAAAAAAAAATCTGAATACAGAAACTCCAGACCTTTGGAGGCTCCTAGGGTCATGAGCTATGAGTTTTTTTGTTTGCTTGTTTTGTTTTTTGAATTGAGGACTCTGTTACCCAGGCTGGAGTGCAGTGACACAATCATGGCTCATTGCAGCCTTGACCTCCTGGGCTCTGGCAATCCTTCCATCTCACCCTCCCAAGTAGCTAGGATTATAGGCATGCACCACCATATCTGGCTAATTTTTTAATTTTGTGTAGAGACAAGGTCTTTCTATGTTGTCCAGGCTGGTCTCAAACTCCTGAGCTCAAGTATTTCTCCCTCCTCCACCTCCCAAAGTGTTGGGATTACAAGCATGAGCTACTGTGCCTGGTTGGCTATGAGTTAAGAACAAAAACTGATGAACTACTCATTTTTAAGGCTTTGAAGAGAAAAATTTTAAAAATGAAAAGCCATTAGTTTTGAAATATACCAGGTAAAGTTATTGAAAAATTCCAGGCTGGGGCCTTCCAGAAGATCATTCATCAGTTGCATTGTTTATTAATTTACTCACTCTCTCAACTCCTATTTTGGTAAATGATCCCTGAGCCCAGGGTCACAGGCTCAATAAGTGGCTGGTGAGGATTAAAGGGCAGGTCAGTCTTACTTGTTGCTGCCTCTCTGGGGCTGTTGTGGGAATGTTGGTGGACCACTGGCTTGGAAAGGTTCAAGTTTGACCATGAGAAGAAATAAGGCCAGAGAGGTAGGATCAAGTAACACACACACTGATGGGTAAGTTGCCATTGAAACTCCGGGAACAGTTCCCTGAAGTGAGTCAAAAGCAGCCCTTGAAGTCCGAGTGATGAGGTGACCAACAACTTAGAGGAAGATACTCCATCCCAAGACAGAGAGATTGTCTCAGACTCTGGATGAATTCAAGCTGCCCTGACAGAGACAGGCTTTTCAGGCACAGAAAGTCACCGATGGCCTCAGAGATGCTCCTTTGCCACATTTCTGGGGCCTCTTGTCTTTGTCCTATTCTTAAAACACAAGGCCTGCCCAACTCAGGCAGGCTCTACCAGCCTAAAAGGCTTGGTGGGCTCAGGCCCAAAGGCTGCCTTTGTGGTGAATTTAAATGGCCAAGAGAGTCTTGCTGTGCCCGACCCACCCCCACTACCACCCAATATCTGGAGTGGGAGACAGTCAAGGAAGTCAAGGACTCACTGCAGCAGTGTACCCAGGAATTTTAGCCTTAAAACACATTCTAAACATGCTTCTTTAGCTCTAGCCTAAAGTTCTACTTTAAACATTTTTTCCCTTCCTCCCCTTCCCTCCTAGGCATCCCTTACACTGTCATTTTTATCTAACTCTAGGCTTGCTTAGAAATTCCAAGGGTTAATCTTAAAGCAAGCCGGATGTGAAAACTCGGCTGTGTAAATCTCTTTCTACTTAGGGAGAACTTCAAGGCAGTTAATCCACACCCCAGCCACAATCAGGGTGATGCCCACCAAGCCCTGGAGAATTCCAGAAGCTAATCCTAAAAGAAACTAGGCCTGAGCCTGGATTGCAGAACCCTTCCATCTGAGGAGATTCATGGGCGATTGATTCATCACTAGGCCACAGCCAAGATGACGCCAGTCAGACATCCCCCCACCCCCAGATAGACAATTTGTCCAGGTAGTTGTTGGAACAAGTCATATAGACTGGCACCCATTATCAACCCCACATATTTATCATACCAAGCTTCCCTTCTTAAGCCCTCACCCTCAGCCCAAAACCCTGAAATGGTTTCTTGAGGCATGAGCCTGGTCATTTCTCTAGTTGCTGGCTTCTGGGGGGAAAAAAAAAACCAAAAAACTTTTTTTTTTTACTACTTTTCGGCCTGCAAGCAAGGAGCAGCTGAACTTGTCGGTAACAGCAGAAAGACCTGGGTGCCACGAAGCACCTAGCAGGTGCTCAGTAAATATTTGTTAAATGAATGAATACATGCTGTGTTGGAAGAAGCCCTTAGTCCAGTGAGGGGGCTCAGGGGAGACTCTGGAGGAAGTGACAGCTAAATTGAGACGTGGAAAACAGGAAGGAGAAGCCAGGCCGTGCCGAGGTCTAACTGTCCCTAAAAGGAATAAATGACGACAGTGGGCATTTAACCAGCCGTGAGGTGGCCACAGGCCTTTCCAGATGCCCTCCCCCCATTGCTTTGGAGTCAGACATCTTAGGTTGGAATTCCCAGTTCTGCCCTTGACAGGCTAAGCCCCTGAACAAGCCCCTCACCTCCCTGGGCCTCGGTATCTTCTGAGAAAGGAAGCCAACCACGGTGCCTACCTCATGGGATTAAATGAGATAACAGATGTAAAGTAGTGTTGCTTTGCTTGCCAGTGAACCTGCGTCTGTCTCTCTCACTTTCTCAGGCCTTTCGGGGCAGAGATACCTCCGGAGTCACTTTGGTGGGTGCAGTGCCCAGTAGCACCAGGCACACAGTAGGCGCTCAGTAAATAAAACAATGCCTCGGCGAAATCCGGCCCGGCCTCGTGGAATTGTGGCTCCTTGGGCCCCTCGGGCTCCGACGCCCTCCGCGGCACGGCCCGCCCCACTGTGTGCCACGGAGGGCGCACAAGGTCCGCCCTCCAGAGCACAGTAGGCGCTCATGCTCCGGCCTTGGCTCTCCTGGTTGGAGGCAGATGGCCGGGGTCGGGTTATGACACTAACTTTACCCTCCAGCTCTGACCGGAGAAGCTGGGGGCAAGAGCCCGGAGTGCCCACAAGAGAGCGCGGCGGCCCGGGGACCGCGCCGGCCGGCGCGGGCGGGGCCGGCTTTTCTGTCGGAGGACGCGGCGGGCGCGCTGCTCCTTT